AAGCACAGACTGGTCTTTTGGATTGGCAGTCAGAAATAACTCTGAAGAAACTGGTCTAGAGTTCAGATTTGACGTGGTTTATAGAAGAACATTCAGTGTTTTGGAATGGTGATGTGAGGCGTGGATGCAGCCACCTTGAAATCCGACGAAGGTCACAGGAAATCTAGAGCTATGCACCTATTAACTCTGAAGAAAATGGCCGACCTTTTAAAATTTTGCACCTCAGCATCTCTGGTTTGTGATTTTACGTGACCTATCGCTCGGTGACTGGGTTCAAAACAGATGCCATGACTATCTGCCCGTCTACCTACCTACCTACCTACCTACCTATTGATCTTTTTAACTACTTATCTACCTCCCTACCTTCCTAGCTAGCCACCTACTTGTCTAACTAGTTACCTAGCAACCTGCTTAGCTAGCTAGCTACCTACCAACTAGCCACCTAGCTACGTACCTTTTATATTCCTTTTTAAAATAAAGATTTTCTTGGTCCTAAAATGCAGAAGGACTATTTGCATTGAATTTTCTATGTTCACATAGATTTTAACCATTAGCTCAGACTCTCACTGTGAGAGATTTCTGCAGGTGCTTTCTTATTTCTCGAGATCATATAGTTGTCATGACACTCTGAATCATGAGTGTGACTTTTCGCCTCACTTTCACAGGATATTTTTATACCTTGTGAAAAAGTGAAGGTTTATAGACTTGCTAAAGCATTCAGGGTTCACACTGCGCTACATGCGATGATCTAAATTAAACTTTCCACTAGAAAGAGACCGAGCTAATCGGCATGAAAGTGAACCTTCTTCACTATCGGGAGCTTGTTTAAAGTTTCACGTCTGGGGGTTATGATGGATGCATTTCTTCTGCATATCTGAAGCACTAGAGTCTGATGTCTCTGATCTTTGGGTTTTGTGACATTTGCAAATATATTGGGCAGTTTAACCAGCCGACCGATTGGGCAGTAAAGCAGAATGCAGAGAAAGCTTTCAGTTCACACACAAGGGAGAACGAAGCACTCGTCAGCAGCGGAGAGAACATAAAAAGACCATCAAGACCAGATAGGAAGTGATGCTGCTGGATGTTTTCAAAGTTTAAAGACCAGCAATGTTAGTTAGTCAAGCACAAAATGGGGTCTTTTCTCTTTGACCTGATCCCACCCTGCTCTGTTTCTCTTTCCATTTGGTCTGCTGTTCTTTTATTTTTTCTTTCCCACTAGCTCCTTTTGTTTTAGTCTTTACATTTTAATGCATTTCTGCGCCTTCCACTTTACAAAAGATGACTCCCTACCCATCCATCCATCACACCCACCACTCATTCTGACTGAGGCAGGTTAATACCCAGCGTAGCGCCCCCCTCTGTGAAAGAGTGAGGGTCCTAAAGAGGGGTTGATGTCTCCGGGGTGTGCAACAGCAGAGTGACAGTGTGCAGCGACGTGAACTGAGGCTTAAGCAGGTACCCGGAGTCTCGCTCCGAGTTGCTAATCCAGTCAAATAGCTGCGGATGTGTGTGTGTGTGTGTGTGTGTGTGTGTGTGTGTGTCTAAAAATCAAAAGAGACGTGACTGGGACAAAAGCGCATTATCTGCTGCAAGCTCCAGTAGACAGGGTTTGACTGAGACCATAAAATTGTCGACTTGGCATCTTCGATGACCTCTTGACCTCGTGGCTAGCCACTGTGAAATGATTGAATACTTTGTTTGTGACGATTTGACGGTGGGGTGGGGGAGGGGTTTCTGGCAGTCGGTAAACAAAAAGCTAGCATGATGCTAACACCTGTTGACTTTTTTTATACTACCTACTAATGCTGAGAGACATTTTCACTGCATAAATAAAAAGTGTAAGAGAAAATGTTTCTCTTAGAATCATTTTCTAAGAATGATTCTAAGAGAAACTCCAATATTTGTCAAGGTTGTTTAATTTATTACCCGTTTATCCTACGTTGTAGAAATATAAATCTAACAAAAGCAGCCCCAGAATTTATTTTGTTTTATAAAAAGTGACATCCTTGTCAGCATTTTTGCTCATATGCCACTTTTGAAGTTTGTAGGACCAGGTTGAATAGAAATAAATAAACTACCAGCCCTGTCATTTCCTGTGTGTTCACTGACCTGTAGTTTCCAGAAGTTCGGCTGCTTCAGCTCAGCGTTTTGGACTCTTTGCATTTCCACTTCGAGTGATTTCTTACCCGTTCCCAGCAGCTGCTCTCGGAACCACTTCCCAAAAATACGACGCATTTTATTTCATCATTGTGCAAAGATATAAAAGTCTGCAAAACGACGGCAGACATTAACTTGTGCTGAATCGGTAATCAGGCAGAGCTTTGGCTGTAAAAAACAGCGATAATTATGCCCATCAATAACTTTGTTTGTGCTTAACCGATGAAGGGAAGATCCATCTGGAGCCGTCTTGCTCTCCTCAGGTGCGTCAATCGGCAGGCGGCAGCATTAATGGCCACTGTGCTTTTTCCTCTCCCTTTCATGTCTTCATCCTTCCAGCACTTAAAAGTTCAGCTGCCTTCCACCAGCAGAGACGGGGCTTGGATCGAGCTCAGGTGAGCAGAGCAGTCGCCTGAGTTGAAACTGGTTCATTTTTTATTTTTATTTTTTGCCTTTAAGAGGCTTAGCAACAAGCGACGTCGTTCCAGTGACTCTGGGCCATAGAGAAAATCTGAAGGGGGGAAAAAAAACAACTAAATGAGCTGAGATATAACCATCTGCTCAGAGTATGAATAATGTTACAGGAGCGTGAGGTTCGACGCACATTTATTCACTAAATCTGTGGTTGAGCCTCGATTACTTCATCTGAATTTAACAGAGACGCAAGTGGGAATGCATATAAATTGCATCTCGGTTACCAGTGTTTGAAACATTTAATCTGGGTCTCAGCTTTGCAAAAAGTGGATAGCAGAAATAAATTGAAAATAATACTGAACTCTTAAGGGCACTGCTTCGCCGAAGGTATTGAGGACATGCGACTTTTCGTGACATCCGACTCATAAAACATGGAGTTTAACATAGAGCTGCTTCACCTTAATGGCGGCGTTTCTCAATCCCCGTCCTCCTGTCCTGCCCTGCATATTTTAAATATATCTCTGTTTCAGAACATCTGGTCCAAATGACTCCATGAACCTCCTGCTTGTTAAATCATCCACTTATTGGAGTCAGGTGGTGGCAGAAAGGGGGAACACCTGAAACACTGCAGGACCTGAGGACTGGGATTGAGAAACGCTGGACTATGGAGAAATAACACGTCACAGTTCCACAGCAGAAACCTCAACCCACATTTTACGAGTCCGGTATCATGGGCTCTGTGTGTTTTCACGGCATTTAGGCGAAGTGGCAGAACTATTTCAACAATAATAGCTGCAGATCAGAACAAAGTTCATCAGCAACCGACCCTACAGTCACTCGGTCAGTTCCTCATTCTGACTTGGATTCATTAATCTGGACAGGTTTGTCAGCATCGTTGTTTCTAAACTGAAACTCTCAGCTCATGTGATTAGATAATTGTGATATTTGTTTTGCAGACTGAGCACAAACAGAAGATCAGGAGAGAGTCAAGGAGTCCCGAGGCCATCAGGATGCGGATCCTGCATGGTAAGTGACACACTGCGACACGGCGGATCCACGTGAGTTCAGGCTGCTCTGACAAATAACGCTCAGCATTTAAGGTCCCATTCTCATTTAAAAAAAAAAAAAAAAATTAAAAAACTGGCCTTTGTCTGCTCGGTCCGTTCTCTAGAGAAGTCTGCCAAACCACAGCTTCAACCCAAACACGTTCAGCACAGAAACATTTGCCTTGCTGACGACTCGAACAACAAGATCGCCCACAGAGCGGGGCCCATCCACAGAAACATCCTGCCTGCGGATGCTTGCTTCACACAGGCCGGCGTCACGCGTAAGTCACGCTGGCATTTTCTGTTTGTCTCGTAAAGCACAGCATCGACAATAATCATATTATTAGAAAACTGTCCACCAAAATACTGAAAACACTGAATTTGTGCAACAGCTAATGTTGCACCATGCTGCTGCTCACTTTTTACAGAGAAAATATTAATTTATGTATTGCACTGGTTTAATTAACTTTTCATTTGGCTATTTAAAAACCGCTAAACAGAGCAAGTGAAAAATATGTCAAGTTATGTGTAAACAAGGCTAACAAACTCTTTGCCAACAGAGGGAGCTTTGAAAAGTTTTCTGCCTTTCTTTGGCCACGTTTCATTTCTAGGAGACGTGATGCAGCTGAATAGCAAGTGAAGATGATGAAATCTCAGAGTAACATTTTAATTAACCCCGGAAATCCAGGGAGTAAGTGCACTGAATATTATCGATGCAAAAGCTTAGAGAAACTAAAATGATAATGCGAGTCAAGATCATCTTGGATTTGCATTAAGCGTCCAGGAAGTCGATCTGATGCTTTTCTCCAAAACTTGCTATAACTTTTGCATGAATCCAGGATCCATTTGTCTCCCAAACTCGGCCCACTTACAAGTTTGTGCATCTGCAAAACACTTCCCCCAGTCACGCCAGGAACAAAACTTTAGTAAAATGTTTCTGTCCCAATCAACAAGTTCTCACTGTAGCTAGCTGCAATATGAGCATGGATAAGCCAACTATAATTTGGCGGATGACGGCGAATTTCATCAAAACTCTGTTCTTGTGTTCCAGGTTATGAAATTCGTTGGATTAGCCAAATGCTAAATGCTATCCTCAGCCACCAGGCTAACAAATCTTTGCTAGTAATTTATTTCTCTGCGGTCTCTGCAGTTTTTGCCCTCAAACACTGTGGCATGATTTTCACAAAATAAAAGAGGATGTGAAATAATGCGTGTATCAAATATTGAATGTGATTGTAAAAGATAGCTAGAAAAATGAGCATTTCCTGTGCAAACGCGGTGTGAACGCTGACGGCGGAACGGTTTTTAGTGACAACTGCAGAAGCGTTTGCAGTCGACTGCAGAAGTCTTGAAGAAATGTAGGAAACGGGCAGAAAAAGAAGCAAAACGAGCGAAAACTTTAATGAATCAAGATCTCTCTCACATGCAGCTAACGAGCTCAAGGCTCTGAGTTTCAAACAGCAACTGAGTCAAAATCGAGAGGAAGTATGAAAAATACGGCCCGATAAAATTCTGCTTATGAATCTGGACGTATATTTCATATAAATTTTAACTGGGCTGAGAAATTTATGCCGTATTACCAAACAAAACTGATACAAAGATATTTTAAAACTTTTTTTAAGGCTGAAAAACAAAAAGTAAATTTCTGGAGAGGCATAAATTAGGACACTGCTTAATTTGTTTTCACTTTAAATGGCTAAAAATCCACATACAGAGACATCAGAAAGCAGAACATTGTTATCGTGAAAGCGCGTTGTTCTGTTTAAACCTCACACATTTAGTTTGATGTTCTCCTGAGGTGAGAGATGAGGACTGGAAAAAACATATCTGAGGTCTTCAGAAAGAAGATTGTAGCAGTTTGTGAATTTAATCAGGTAGCTAAAGAATTAAAAATCGGCTTTTCTAATGTACAGAAAGTAATTCAAAACATTCAAAACAACGTCCTGCATGCCCCGATCTGCCCCCTCGAGCTCGTTCACCCTGAGCGCAGACCGAAAGACGCTGAAAGGAACATCCGAAATCCTAAAATGTAATCACTAGATAAACAGGAGGCTCTTCAGTCAAACGGAGAAGAGCGAGGAGGAAACGCGAGCTTTCAACTAAGGAATAAAGAATAATGTTGTAAGTCTAAAACTAAATTTTTATTTTAAAAAACAGAGGTCATATTTGACAAATACACTCGCACCAACTGTGCAGGACCTGAACCCTGAAACATGACAATAAACTCAAACGTACCAGAATGCCTCTTTTTTTTTTTCAAAAAGATAATTAAAAAAAGATTAGATGTAGCTCTGAGTGGCTGCGTGTCTTCCCCTTTTCTCAACCCTCTTTCCTGTCAAATTACTGTTCAGTAAAGGCCAGCAGTGAAAAAAGAAATCTTTAGAAAGGAGATTAGAAATTGATGTGGAAGCGTTTCTTCCTAATAAAACTGATTCTGATGTAAACAGTCGTCCGTTTGTCAGTCGTGCCTGCGATGCTCCAATATGGCAGGTTTCGTTGATTTACCAGAGACACGGTGCAGAGCTTCAGTATCGGAGATGTTGCTGCTGTCAGACACAACTGCATACACACACACACACACACACACACACATCCAACACAGCGGTGGGTAACTCGGCACATTATTGGATCACAGGATAATAAATCAGCCCCACGTTGTGTTTTCATCATCGCCTGCTGGTGCTGAATTATCGGCCAGGAGTGTGATCTCCATAGCTGTCTGCCCGTGTAATTAAATAACGCACATCTATTAGTGAGGAAAACCCGCCGCAGCCGTCCGGGGGATCCTAGCAGGCGCTGAAATTCCCGAAGAGGCCTGGATGTACGGCCGTCCCACGGGACGACTCAACCTGTCCCAACTGTTGGTGCTGACGCGGGACATTTTCTGCTGTTTTCTCCGGTTGTTAACTGGCTGCCTGCAGCACATAATGTGAAGAAAATGCAATCAGAAGCAGCGACAGAGAGGAAAACTCCTCCTAAACGAGCTCTAACGTGAAATGTTTACGCTGATAGGCGTGTGAATCACCCTCGTCACCTAGGCAACCTTGTGAATTGCCAGCATCAGTTCTCTCTCTCTCTTTCTCAATATACTTCAGAGCCGGACTGGGCTGCTGATAGAGTTGGATGTGTGTAAAAGAAATCGTTTGAATTTGCAGAATAATGTTCCTTTGAAATAAATGAATCAGGACCACTTTGATTAAATATTTTAGTTTTAAAGTTCTGTGTTATATTCTGTATATAACGTTGGTTCTGTTAGCCAGTTGTCGGTAGGCTGAACCGGAAACCAAGCTCATTTTGCTGTTGCCGCCATGCAGTGCTAAACACCTCTGGTAAAATGCGACATGTCTCGTGTTTGTGTTTTGCCACATCTCCATAGCAACCGTGATAAATAACCTGTTTGTGTTTTCTCCTCCCGTTAAAACCATATTTATGTGGCGTTTGCCAAACTTTACAGGGACTTTAACTGGAACTGTGTACTTTAAAGAGAGTGTTATGGTACTAAAACCCCGTTAGACTGCTTGGCATCACAAACTCTCTGAGATTTGGCTCAAGATCCAAAACATTTAACCAAATCAAGACAGAAAACAGTTTCTGAGACACAAATTAAACTTTCTTGGGTGAAAACCCTGTGAGATGAGCTGAGGAGACGATGCTATAAGAGAGGAACCAGAACTCTGGTCGAATAATGGAGACGGTTACAAAGAGGAATGGTCAAACTTTTCTCTCTGGATGCTCCAACTTTGTGAAATTTTAAAGAATAAGTCTTGAGCTATTGTCAAAAATGTTGCTACTGAAGCATTAACTGCTGGAGCACCAACAGTTATGACGCTACTGATTCATTTTTTCACCACTGAATAAATGTACTCAAAGTAAAAGTTGGACTATAAAAAAAAAAGATACAGTTATTGTAAGGCTTTATGCACCAATGATTGAAGCAGGTGAGGTACATGAACTCCAAGATGGCCACCATTTCCTGTTACTTCTGCAGTTAAAATTAGCAGGATATAAATGACTCTCTCTCTCTCTCTGCTCCTCTGCCTCTCCTAGAGAGGCGTTTTCCAAAGCCCGCGGGGGGGAACTCGTCATGCGACGAGGACAGTAATGACAGCCTGTCTCCACGTCAGTCAGAAAGCCGGGAGCGTCCTCTGGGCATTCAGCCGTCAGCAGAGGGACCGGCCAGCAGCAGCCTCGCCTCTCCAACCCAGGTACGGTCACTCCTACAGGAGAGGGGCATGTGGATTGGAGGTAGACGACATCCTGACAGGTTTCACCGCACGGATCCGAACCTGGATACTCGGCTCAAATGCAATTAGTGTTACGCTTCCAGAACACTTTTTTTCTCTCTCTCTCTCTCTCTCTCTCTCTTTTTCAAAGTTTTAACCGGAACTTTCCATCTGTAACCCCACCCGTCAGGTTCCTCGGTCAGCTCTTCCTTTTCATCTCTCCTCCACTCGTCCGAACTCCTCTGTGCAGAAGACTTGTGGAGTCCCTCAAATTAAGGTAAGACGCACAAAAAAACCACGGAAAACTGAGCTTCATGAGTCTCTGGGTAAAACTTACCTGTCTTGTGTTTTTCAGAGCCAGCGCCCCTCCACCCAGAAGCACAAGAAAGCCAAGGACAACGCACCAAAGGTAGGTGTTGTCGCTTTGGTTTTGGAGGGGGAATCTCGTGACGCTGAATGAACGGGTTCCCCTCTAGGTAAAGAAGCTGAAGTACCATCAGTACATTCCTCCTGACAAGAAGGGAGATGCCGGGCCTCTTCCCGATCTGGACTCCTGCCACGCCAAGATGCTCCAGCAGCAGCAGCTCTTCCTCCAGCTGCAGATCCTCAGTCAGCAGCAGCACAACTACCACGCCCCGCCGCCCGCGACGCCCACGTAAGCGTAGAGTTCGTACGTATCCGTGAATCAGCCTTCTGCGGAGGTGTAACCACGTTTGGCTTTCTGTCTCGCCAACAGGGATCGGGACCCGCCTCCTTCCTCTTCTCCGTCTGACTTGACCTCCACTTCCTCCCCACCTGACTCCTCTCCCCGCATCCACATCGGTCCAAGTTCCGGGACAAAAGTCTCATCGCTCTGTCCGAATCTGGACGAAATGAAGGTTAGTTCATTCCCTGTTTTTTTTTTCCTTTTGTAGCTGCATCATGTCTAGTGGTTTAGTCATCAAACGTATGAGTCCCAAATAGAAACCTAACAGTTTTACCTTCACAAGTGGAGCGTTAACGGCTTTTGCTTTGAGGCCTCACTTGATATATCTAAAAAAAAAGGTTTTGATTTTTCTTTAAAGTAAGTTTATAAATGAGTGAGTGAATAAATAAAAATAAATCATTCCCAATTGTTGTATTTTAAACTTTTTCTTTAGTTTAAAACGATTGGTAACGATTGTGAAACAACTTTAATGATAGTTTCTTTTTTTCATTTCCATTTAGAGTAAAATGTGACGGTAAACATCATCTAGACGACTACAGCAAACAGTAAATAACGTTTTATTTACAGTTTAAAGTACAGTTTTCATTGGTTTGAAAGCAGGAACACAGCCCCACAACCTGATGCTGCCACCACCATGTCTGACAGTTTGTGTCGCATTGGTTTCCTCCAATCGATTTAATCGATTCTGCTTCTGTAAATGTGTGGAGACATCTGACTGGTGCTTGGACACACATTTATTGAAAACAACTTTAATGTAAAAGCAGACGTGAACAAGAGAGATGTTTTATGGAAAGCTCAGGTAAGACTAAAAAGAAACACAAGTGAATCAGGGGAACTGCAGGAATGAAAGAAAGCAGCAGTATAATTGTCTTTAAGCAATCCAGGCTTATTGAAACTGAATGGAGGAAAAAACAGATCCTTATTTCGAGGTGAAACTTCATGAAAGTAAACAGAAATTGAAGCTTGGAACAAGTTGTTTTTCCCATCAAATACAGCCGCAGCGACAGTGACAGATTATTCTGCCTCGCTCTCTTTCTCCTTTAATTCTTTTTCAGCAGTCACTTTCTTTATTCCTCACTTTTCCTCCCTCATTCTCGATTTGTCCTTTACTCCGTCCGCCGCCAGGTCGCAGAACTGAAGTGTGAATTGAAGCTGCGCAGATTGCCCGTCTCTGGCCCCAGGAAGGATCTCATTGAGAGGCTGAGGACGCACCAGGCCCTCGGCCGAGGCAGTACCGCCTCTCCGACAGCAGGGGGAACCAGCGAGCCAGAGCTGGGAAGAACACAACCGTCTTCCAAAACAGGTGAAAGCAGGTTATTCTTCACAGTTTACACCGCTGTTGAGCATAAATAAGACTAAATTAGCTTGAATATCTCTGTATTGGCGATTCAGGCGGCAGTTTCAGTGCGAGTGAACCGTCTCCTCAGCGGCTCGTCAGGTGTGACAGAGCCGTCAAGCCCTTCGACGGACCCAGCCTGCCGACCGGCGCGAATCCGGAAGAAATCAGCTTCAACTCTGACCCAGTGGGAGAACTGGTCAGACACGAGGCATTCATTGTTCAAATTATGTCACTTCAAGATGAGCTGTGTCATAAAAGTGTGTGTGCTGATCTAGATTACTTTATTTTGTGTTCATGTTTCATGAGTCAGTTAGAAATGGCTTTACACTTTTAAGTTCAAGGGTTGCGAGAAATATTTCAAAACCAGATTTAGTCATGATTTAGACTGCATGTGTATTTTTAATGCTACGGGCATGTCAGAAGACGCTGTTCAAACCAAAAATAAGTAAAAATAAAGAAAGAAAAAAGTAATTCTCCCCTAAACTTAATAACTGCTTAGTGGTGGCGATGGCTGCCATCAAGCGTTTCCAATAAACAGCAATGGATGTGGAAGAATTTTACTCCCCTATTCTTTGCAAAATGGTTTCAGTTCAGCCATGCTGGAAACCTTTGATGGATGAACGACACGTTTAAGGTGAAACTTCCTAAAGTCTGGCATTTTTAAGCCTCTCTGATGTGAACTTGTTGGTGGATTTTGGATCACTGTGTTGGTATAACGGTCAAAACTTCAGCTGATGGATATTCATGGTTCTGTCCAGAACTACGGGGCGTTCCTGTCCATCAAAGCTGCTATTTAACTCCCACCACCACCACCATGTTTTGCTACTTGTTCTGTCCTGAAATGCCTTGACAGTCCACAAAACATTTCCCCAAATTTATCTGCTGGAACTTTATTTTCTCTTTGGTCAGTAGGAGTTTTCACCCTGGATCTCTCTCCATTTTACCAAGCTCTTATAGCTGAATCATGAATTTTGACCTGAACTGAAGCAAACGAAGTCTGTAGTGCTTTAAATACTCTTCTGGCACATTTTGTTGATGATCATTGGAGCAGCTATTGAAGGTCGGTCACTCCTGGGCAGGTTCACCGCTGCTCCATGCGTTCTCCGTTTGTAGATAATCTCTGTTACTGTGGTGAACCAGAGACCCAAAGCATTATTTATACATTTGTATCCCTTTCCAGATTAATGCTTGTCAGGGATTTAGTTTTTCTCATCTGATGATGATTTGATTTTTTTGAGATATGTTGACCTCAACCAGCCCAAGCTCACAGAGTGATCAGGACTCGTGAGTGAGACAGCAAACTGACCGCGGTTAGTCACAGCTACGTCATGATTTAAGGAGCGCGGCAATTCATTTTCCACACAGTGTATGTTGGTTCGAATGTTATTTTCTCCCTAAATACACACTTTTGCATCTTTTTTTCCTGATCTAAAATGTATTGATAAAGTGTGATAAGAAAAAAGGAAAGTGTAGGAAGAGTTTGTAAGGAAGTAAATCTTTGTTGCAGCTCTTTCCACGTTTTTAATGTTTCTCCAATAATTTAATTGGGTTCCTACTCAGAGTTGGCATTGCATTAAGACAGACGAAAGTGATTAATCATTATGGCAACTCTTAGTGGGTGGGATGCATTAGGCAGTGTTTTAAACGTGCAAAATTAAAATGGCTAGACAGCACTGATATCAGTCAAAGTGATCCATGGAGGGAACGGTGACAAACTGGAGAAAGGGTTGTGGTCGGCCAAGGCTCATTGATGCTTGTATGCCTTACGTGTCGTGCAGGAATATCATTTATGGGAGTATCATTTCATTCTCTCTGCAGATGACCTCTCCTGCCTCCAGCCTTCAGCCGCTCACCACGGCTCCAGTGTCTGCTGCCGTCAAACAGGAGCGCCGACACTCCGGCCCGGCGCCTTGTCGCTTCTCCTTAAAGTCTACCTCTCTGCAGGAACGCAGCTCGTTCTGCTCCGCGGCCCCCGCCATTACCGCGGCAACTCCTCCTGTGACTGTTGACAAAGACAGAATGCTGCAGGAGAAAGATAAGCAGATTGCGGAGCTCACCAGGATGCTGTTGCAGAAAAACAGGTTGGTGGAGGAGCTGAGAATGCAGCTGGGAAACGGTAACCGAGACGCTCCGGAGGCGTCCGTTCTCAAAAGAGTGAAGGAGGAGCCTCCCGACGGGTCAACAAGTCCTTCTCTGGTCGTTCTCCGTGAAAAGGAGGTTATAACCATCAAGAGGGAAACCGTGGAGGAAGCGATGGCATCCAAGATGTCGCTGCAATCGCCTAGCCCAACTCAACAGACTCACAGTCAGACGCATCTTCAGCTCCAGCAGAACCAGGTCTGCCTCCAGGACTCTGCTCGACAGCTAGCTCAGCAACAGGCCATCGGTAGGCTGCTGCTGATGCAGCGTAGCACTAAGAAGCTGCAGCACGCCGCTCAAAGTGTCAACGGGGCGCCGGAAGCCCACCAAAAACCCCGTCCGCAGAAGCAAAGGAGATCTCAGAAACGGCACCTGCAGACGCAGCCGCCGCAGTCTGAGCAGCGTCGCCCCCAGCTGGAGAAAACGAGGCCGGAGCGACAGGTTCTGCTGAGGGAACAAGAGAGCGTCGCCAAGAAGCACCAGCAACAGAACAACAAGCTGCAACCCGTCCAGATGCAGAGCAGGATGCAGCAGCAGCAGCAGGTAGGAGTAGAGAAGAAGAACCTCGCGTACTTCACGTTACGGACAATCAGCACAGATTTTAGAAAAACATCGCTGCTCACCAGCTGGGACTCTGTTTTTTCCTTTGTATAGTTTTGCTTAATTACAAGGTTCTGTATTCTGTACAGAACATGAAAAGGTTTATTGGTTTCCCCAACCAGCACTCAGACTTTCCCTTCGTCCCGCAGGATCTTCTGAACAATGACTCCCGCCCAGCCGTGGTCGGTGACAGCAAGAGGAAGCACATCCTGATTCCTTTGACCAATCACATTACAGGAGACCGAGGAAAGGCGTCAAATCACGATTCATCTCAGGTGCGCTGAACGACCTCTGCAATTGTTTGTTTGCCAGATACTGATGATGTATCTACAGTCAAATTTCAGTGAAGACAGTTGATGCAACATCTCAGACGTCTTGGTTATAAACTCAGATTTTATGTGCAAATTCAAACACAAAGGCAGCATCTAATTGTAATGGAAGAAAAGTGGTTTTCAATTGTATTCAGCACCCAGAGTTCATATTTGGTCGAACCGGCCGTCCTTTGGGAATTATCCCACACAGCTTTTAACATTTTAAGACTCTTTGTGGTCTTATCAGAAATTCTCAATGGATGTTTTTTTTGTTGTTTTTTTTAACGTCACCATTAAAACATCCAGATTCGACCAGCGAGTACGGCATCTTAACGATTCCCTCGAAGATCCATCTGGAACCGAACCGCAGCGTTCCCGAATCCATTCCCTTGTTGCCGGCGCAATAATAGAAATTCGAACAGCTTGTTAATGCGCCGCGGCGAAATAAGAGCGTAAGGAAACTGCCGTCGTCAGTCTGATTGCTGTGAAATTAATGGCCTACGCCGTTTGAAACAATAGCAGCAGTGCTTGAGACGTGTCTGACACTGGCCTGATGCTGATTATTTTTACCCTGCTAATTACCCTAACAGCATCCTCCATTACTATGATTAATGGTGTTGAGAGACGAGGAACAAAGACTTCATCACATCTCGGTTCACAGAGGCTTTACGAGCATCCCCGACCGGCTCAAAAACATCCGGATTTAATGCGACGTGGCGCTTTACGCGCAACACGTTTACCGCTTTTCTCCTTCGTTCGTTTTTGACTGTCATAAAGTAACAGAATTAGATTTTAATGTGTAGATTAGGACTTTTAAAGCCCACAAACAGTATTAGAACATCTGGTAAAGATATGCAAAAAAGACATAAGTGAACTTATTTATTGCATGAGTGAAATGTCACACACTGAACATTTTTGAAAAAAAAAAAAATAATAATAATTTTAAACATTTTATTCATCAGGGTTTCAATTGGAAAACCTGCATAAACCCGGTGCTGGAGGCGGCTACCAGCGAGTTAAAAAATGTTAAAAGTTGGCAGAAAATGTGAAAATAAGATAAGGTAATTATGTGTTATTGGAAAACATTAACAATTTATAAACACCGACTAAAAATCTTTAAAAAGGCATACATTAAAAAAAATACAGTTAAAATAAATATCAATTATTTGCACTTCAGTTGCTCCTTCCTAATTTAAAGTAGTTTCCCTTTATCCACGATTTGTCACTTTTATTAGCTGAAGTTGTTGCCTTGTGAACCGGTAAAAACAGGAAATGGTGAATAAAAACGTGACCCGACTTCAGTCGTCTTGTGTTCACATACCGACCTTACTATGAGCCATTGTGCTTCACCAAAGAGAGACTTTATAAAAAAAATAAATAAATAAAATAAAAAAAGCCCTATAGTGATTAAGTGAACAATTCTTAGCCTGGTTGGGGAGCAAGGAAAGCCTGGTGGGCCACCAGGCTTATAAAACACTGGGGGAAGTTCTGATCTACTGAGAGCGGGGATAATTATTTTGATTTTAACCAAACCAACAGGTTTGTGTTTCCGTAAAACCGGGACCAGCTGATTAGTGCTTAAAATTTGCTGCTATGGAAGATCTTTCCTGCCCACAGCATCACTCACTGACAATGACTCTTTCAAGACGCTTGAATGACATAATTTAATTTCTCTTTCAGAGAAATAAAGTATGTTTGAATTAAATATTAATGTATTAAACACCTCTCCAACTGATTTATTAATCGTCCTAATTATTGTTTTGCTGCAATTTCTTTTCAAATCACCATTTTTCTGAATGCTGCAATTTAAAATGTGAGTTGACTTCTTCTAGTTTAATTATATGCCAAACATTTTCCTAAAAGCATTTAAAGGCAGCCAAATTAAGAAAAAAAACTTCTTCTGTTTTATCTTCTTAATTAAACTCCCTTTCTTTAAAGTTCTTTAATGCCACACCGTCATTAAACGAGGAACGTCAGGAACGTCAGGAACGCCTGCAGGAAGCAGCAGCTCATCGTCCGTCAGCGCCACCCAGGCTGCAGTCTCCTCAAACGTGGAAAAACTCCCCATCACTTTTCTGTCAAACTGTAAGCAACCTGAACATTCATCTAGATTGTCACTTCAGATTTTGTCTACATATGTATATATATTTTTTATTTCCCTAATGTATTGTGACCTACAGGAGACGTTTCCAGGTCTGGACGTCACGTTGAGTCCTCTGTCGTCAGATTCGGTCGAAACGGCAGCTTCGCCATCTCACGATAAAGTATGACACAGTTATAAACTCTAACTGTGTAATTTTCTAAGTTATACTTAGATTTCACAGTCAATTGTATGATTTCAATTTCATATAAATAGCTGTTTTTAGTCATACGATGGTAAAATCTGCTGTTTTCTCTCTCTTGTCGTCAGCTGAGAGACAAGGATTTCATCGACATGATCCTGCAGGCTGGAGGTACAGTGCGTGGGCCGCCTAGAATAAATAATGATTTTTTTCTGCTAGCTCTATAATAAAACTCAGTAATTACCATTTAAAATTTAATGACTAATTTAATAATTTCACAAAGTGGGGGAAAAAACTCCCCCGTATTTAAATCGCAGCTTCAAGTCGCTGCATTCTAGAATCACTTGCATGAGTTTTGCGTCTCTTGCAAGACTGTTAATCCCTCATCTGGAAGTGGAAAGACGTACATTAAAAGGCACAAATCTATGAAAACACAACGTTTCACCGAAGCGGAGAGTTCAGCCAAAGAAGTTACAAAGGCCACCGTGACTCTGGAGGAGCTGCAGAGCTCAGGTTGGAGAATGAGTCTGCAACACGAGGATTAGTCTCTGCGAATCTGGCCTTGGTGGAAAAAGGAATGCCATAAGAAGTCATGCTGGCAGAAAATCCTTAGTTTATCTAATATTGTCTGACAATCTGATCGCCAAACTTCACTTTTTCTTTGAAAACCGCGTACGGCTGTGCTGTTCACATCTCACGAAACCCCATCAAACACATTGATGCAGATTGTTGTAATGCTGTAAATCAGAAAAAAAGGTTAAAATATGTGTGAATAATTTGTAACAAGGTTTTCCTTTTTGCCTTCAGAAACACCCGACGCACTGAAAGACACCAGAGACTTCTCGTTTTCTTCGCCTTGCCTGTCCCCGCTCCACCTCCTGTTGTCTCCGCCCAACACCCCCAGCAGTGCTGCACTACAACACGACTCTCCTCTGCAGCCCGGGCCCTGGACTCCAGCCAAAAGCTTGGATCATAAGAAGCACTTCGATCTGTGCGGCGGCGGACGCCTGGAGGACTTTCTGGAAGGTGTCCCTCTGAAGCCTCTCCAAGGGGAGGAACCGGACGCCCTCCTCACTTTGCTTGATGACCAAATGATGTGCACCACCAGCGTCCTGGACACGGTCCCTGTGGATTCCTCGGACACGGAGTGGAGCGCCGACGTTAAGGACTGGCTGGGCTTTCCCGTGGGAGGAGAGAGCGAATGGGACACATTGGTCCCCCAAAGGCCCCAGAGTGTGTTTTCGGCAAACTTCCTGGACGGTTCCGACCTTCACATGAACTGGGACTCCTGAATGTAGCTGGAAATAGTCAGAAAAGCAACTCAAGATGTAGCCTATACCTGACGTTTCAGGATTTAAGCCAAGCACAAAGTCTGTGTCATTTCTCCTGATCATAATCTCAAAACCGTTTTCACGTCGATATGTTTTGTTCACTTGATAAAACTTCTCAGGCTGGTCCTACAGATGATAACCTAGTAGATAGTTGGACACTGGAAAGATGTCTCAGCCTTTACCTCTGATCAGCGGTGGGCACTGCTAGCTTAAAAGTTAGCTGCGCTAACCCTGAACTGCTACTCATAAACATTAGCTGCACTCAGGCTAAAGCGCTAAACCAGCATAGTGTCTGGCAGAAGCTAATGCTAAAGCATTAAAGCCAGTAATTGTGACAGGTACTATGTGTCAGGTTGCGCTTCAAGAAGCGATTCTCTGAAACAGACCAGTCACTTGTGGTTTCAGTGTTAGAGTTGCAGAGTATTGCTAACTCTGTTGCTGATTTTGGCCAATTCAGCAACAATGAATGTTTGGCCAATTTGGTCAAACAAATTTTGGCCAAAGCAAATTTTCTTTGCTTTCTGAAGGATTTTTAATGCACTCTGAGTAATCTTGATTCACACCAAAGGCGTTTCATGCGTCTGGTTTACGTTCATCAGTCAATCAATCAGTCAATCAATCAATCAAATTTTATTTGTATAGCACATTTCAGCAGCAAGGCATTTCAAGGCGCTTTACATAATTAAAAACAAAATAAAAACAGCATGTGACATTGAATAAACAGTGAGAAAGAGAAAGACATTTTGAAAAAGATTAAAAAAGATAAAAACATTAAAACCCCTTTTAGGACTTCAGTTAAATGTTGTTTAACTGGGGCTCCAACCCTCTGGGACTTTAGTCAAAAACACCGTTTGACAAGGACTCCAACCTTTAGGTTTTTAGTTGAAACGCCGTCAACTGGGACTCTAAACCCCGTAGGACTTTAGTTAAACGTCGTTTAACTGGGATGTTTTCTGGGGGACTTTACATCATTAAAACGTAGACAGTGAGAAAGAGAAATAAAAAGAAATTAATAACTAGATAAAAAGTAAAGATAAAAACATTAAAAACATTGAAGACATAAAAACATCGAAGACATCAAAACCCACACTCTAACCCTAATTTAGCCATAAGCAACTCTAAACAGGTGGGTTTTAAGTTGAGATTTAAAGGCACGTTCCAAATTTGTGGTGCATAGAAACTGAATCCTGCTTCTTCTCGTTTTGTTCTGGTTCTGGGGAT